TTCAGCCTAAATAATCATGTTTTATTTCTAGTCTCTTCTCTGCTGCTAACATCTGCATGTAAACATAATCTCAGCCCTCTAAACCTCATCTGCTCCTGCTGCTGGTCCTTCACCTGCAGTCATAATCTCCTGTTTGTCACATCCTAAGCACTTCTCCAGCAGAGCACTGTTGCTTCAGGTGGGGAATAAAGCAGCAGGAGGAGATGAACTCTGAGAAACAAAGATCCTAATTTCTTACAGCAAGGGACATCTTGCGCAAAGCCTATTTGGCTTTAATGATTATACCCTCCTGGAGCCCCACAGAGTAGTACAGGAGTGCCAGAGGAGCACCCATGTAAAATGTGCTGGTTTGTCATAAGGCAAGACCAAACTTGGGGTGTGTGTGTAGGGGAGGACAAAGCAAATGTCTCTCAGGTGTCACTCAAAATAATTGCTAGCTTCTACAAATGGCTACATCCACTGGAAAGAATATAGTATCTCCAGAGCCATCCCTATTAAGCCAAACTGAACAAGAATTTGCATGAGATAGTGGCTGTGGAAGTCACTAATGAAAGTCTCTCTGACCTGGAGATAAGCCAACCTGTGGGAAGTGAATGCCTTATTCTTGGTCTTATGTATGAGCTCTTTCATATTTTTCCCTAACAGTACAAACAGTCTTGTCTTCTCACCATCATTCTTTTCTTTTCCTCCCCTGTCTTTATGACCAACGTCTCAAAAAAATAGCAAACAAACAAGTGAACAAACAAAAGTGAGAGAATGGGAGCATTGGTAGCATAGTACCTAAGGCATTTGACTGCTAACCAGAAGGCTGGCAGTTCAAACCCACCAGCCACTCTTCGGAAGGAAGATTGGGCAATCTACTTCTGTAGAGATACCCCCTCAGAAACCCAAGGAGAGGTCACGATGAGTCAGAATCGACTTGACAGCAGTGTTTTTTTTTTTTTTGTTTATAGCAAATCATGGTTTCATTAATCACTTGAGAGGTAAAAATGAAAACATCTGCAATGGCAGATAAAATTTATTTTCTATTTCATTGCTATTAGAAATAGAAGAAAGCCTTAGCAGATAAGTGATAAGAATGATCACAATGCTTATTGGTCAATTTAAAGCTTAAGAAGAGTACTTTGCACATCCAAGACTGGGTTTAGGCAGTGGGTTCTTCACATTTCCTGAGGCTTTAAATGCTGATCAATAAATGTTAATTCAAAATTAATTATCCTTAGAAGAAATGGCATGTACTTAATAACTTCAAGTTTTCTAGACATTTCCATGTTTGATTCTTTTTTTTTTTTCTTTTTTTAAATCCCCACATGTACCTGTCTATAGCAAGTACTTAAAATATACCTGTCTGCTGAACAAACAAAAGAAAGAGTGGTTAGATGGCCAACTCAGTGAGTTCAACTCACAATCCTAGAAACCCATGGTGACAGAAAGGACCCAGTGAGAGAGAGTAGATGAATAAGTAAAAGTAAACTTCTATCAGAATTTAGGAAAAGTTGCTCATGAGGCAACAGCATTTTCTTCATCTGTAAAGGGCAGCTACTGATTTTTACTATAATCTGTACTTTTCTTTCTAAGTTTTAATGAAAGCATGATAACAATCTTGAATGCATTTATTTTCATTATCAACACAAGCAAGTGAGCACCTACTAAGTTAGACATTAAAAATAGACTTTCATTCTCACTGGAAAGAATATAGCAATAAAATGTTCACGGCTGTGAGCATCTGTGAGGTAGGGGCTGCTTATAATCATCTCCATAACATAACTAACTAGCATAGTTCCTGTTATGTAGAGAACACACTCAACAAATGTTAGTTAAAAGAATGAATGAATTATAAATGAATGAATTACGATTCTCCCAAATATGCCTTTGTTTGTTGGTAGCTTGTCTGCCTTCTAGACCATAAATCCAAAAAAACAAGGACTTCATCTGGCTTGTGCTTAGTGCCCCAAATGGTACCTGACTCTGTAACTTATTTGTGGGAAAAATGAATAAATACATGGATGAGAAATATTTTTCAGTTGAAGAAACTAGTCATTTGTTCAACTTGTGACTTGTCTCATTACAACATGCCCATCTGCAGAAGTACAAAATAAGTAAGTTTATAAGATAGGATAAACATATGAGCATATAAGGGCTCTTTTTTCCTTCAGTATAGTGCCTGGATAGAGGTCCTGGTGGAGGAACAAGAGTTTGTCTGCTAACCAGAAGGTTGGCAGTTTGAACCCATCAGCCACTCTACGGGAGAAAAGATCTGGTGATTCGCTCCCATAACTATTACCGACCACAAAACCCTGTGTGGCAGTTCTACTCTGTCTACTATAGAGGGTCCTATGAGTCGGAATTGACTTCAATGGCACACCCAACAACATAGTGCCTGATTAAATCTTGTGCCATAGCACCTGCTTAGTACATGGTTTTGAATCAAGGAAATACAAGAAAATATTAAGGGTAGGAAAAACGTGAATTATTTTGATTTTTTTTTTTTTTAAATTTCTACTGTCAAGAGAGGTCAGATAAAATATATATTTTATAAAAATACAGATGGAGCACAATGGGTTGAACATTTGGAATGGGATAAAAAATTTCAGGGAAAGCCATAATTCCTAATGTAAGAATGATTAATACATAAACAGTAGGAATACTTGACTTTTCAAGTACTCCAGATTAGAAACCAACCGAGTGAAGTATTTTACATCTGCTTATAAAAGAATCAAAGTAAAACACACATGCTTGCAATGGCTTGCAACAAAATTCAAAGTGTACACATGTAAACATGAAAGAATAAGTAGTCTATTTATATACCAATATTTTGTGATAGTTTGCTTTAAAGTGATGTTCTATTTAAATTTGCCTGGCACAGAATTTTAAATCTAATTAATCATTGTGAAGGGGCATTTACAAGGTAAAGGAACAACAACCCCATAACAATATTTCATACAACGTTTTGGATTTTCATGTTTTAACCTTAAGTGAACATGTGTTAATTCAGTACCACATTGTTGTTGTTGTTGTTATGTGCCATCGAGTCAGCCCTGACTCATAGCGACCCTTCCTTGGGTTTCCGAGGCAGTCTCACTACAGAAGTAGGATTGCCCAACCTTACTTCCGAGGAGTGGCTGGTGGGTTTGAACCACCAGCCTTCTGGTTAGCAGTCAAGTGCCTTAGGCACTATACTACCAGAGCTCCTCAGTACCACATTAAAAGACTTAAATTACACAGAATAAATAAATACTTTTTTCATATATTATAGGGGAAACTTTTCAATATATGACCAAGGATGTGTGGAGTCAGCTAAATTTCCTATATATATATATATTTTTTTTTTTTAAGAAAGCAGTTAAAATATCATCTTTGGATATGTTTTAATAAAATAATTACCTCTGATCCCATAATACAGAGGAATAGAAGGGGCCCATCATTTTAAGTCCCCCTTTGTTACTTGCATGCATGTGGTAATAACTTTCTGCCCATGTTTCTGCATTGCCTTTTCCAGCCATGGTAAGTTAGGCCTCATACACTCAGTCTCTATTATCAAATAAGCAAAGTATAAAAACCAAACCAATTGTTAAGGAGTCTATTCCAACTCATAGTGACCCCACATGTGTCAGAGTAGAATGATGTCTATAGAGTTGTCAATGGCTGGTATTTTAGGGAAGAACACTGACAGCACTTTCTTCCAAGGTGCCCCTGGATAGACTTGAACCACCAACATTTTGGTTAGCAAGTGAGTGTGTTAACTGTTTGCACTACCTAATCCCTCTACTTTTTCTCTCATTTGGTGTTCCCTAGTTCTCAGGAAGGAAGCAGAGAGAAGCCAGGCTAAGCCAAGAGATGAGATAAAGGGCCTGAATATCCATAGGAAGGTGGTGCCAAGGGAGTGACACTAGACAGCTCTGGAAATTTGAGAGCTTAGCTGGTGGCTTACAACAAAAAATAGTTATTTTCAGATACCCATTCCTCACTTATCAACATGGTTAAGTTCCAATGAAAATTGGCATAATGCAAAAATGGAAGATGACCACATCATTACATAACTGCAAATTACATTATCACATAAGTGTCATTATATAACTGCCAAAACTCTGAGAATCATGAGCAACTCAAGTTGACACATAACCTAAACCATCACAGCCAGAGTTACTCTTGCCTTAAACTTCTGTTCATCAATGGCAGACATACTTTGTTAACATGCAAAATAGTTGCATAGTGGATTTTTCACTATTGTTTTAAAGGCAAAATATTGGATAATGAGATACATGATAAGTGAGGAGTAAGTTTATATAAGAGTCATTTTAAACATTTAAATTACCATGGTTAAAATGGAAGGAGGAGTTTCATTTATTGTAGAATGCTTTATGGTTTTCATGATCAGTTCTTAAATGTATGTCCTTTAAGGCTTAATTTCTAATGTGAAAGAAATATTGAAAGAAATAACTATCTGTAGTACGGTTCCACACTGGCACATAAATACATGCATACACATGGGAATTAAAAAAATCACGCTAAGTCTATATCAACAATTAATGTCTGGCATAAAAGTAATAAAAGCTTAGTATTTTGTTTTCAAGTAAAAGTATACCCCATTCAATACATGAACCAAACATATCTAGCATAAATTTTTCTAACCTTTCTTTTTAATATATAAAGCATTTTATAGATAATATTTCTTGTGTTTCTTTCTCTCAGAAGGCCTAGATTATGGTTCATATCTCATGACACCAAAAGTAATACTGCAACAGATATTAAAGCATTTTTTCAGCCACTTATTCTATAAAATATTAATTGCAAGACTGTGCATGTGCTGTACATACAGGGGCTTAGGTAACTGAGTTCCTGCTCAGTTCTAAATCAATAAAAGATAGCATGCACAGCATCAATCATTGTTCACTCTTCCTTTAGTACATAATAACTTCAAGTGGAAGATTTAAAAATACATATATGTTTAAGCACTCATGGAGATATTTGACACTAGAGAAGAGGTGAATAATACTTACCTAGGAAGGACAGGTTTTTCTCTAGAAGCAAGTCTCTTAGCAGGACTTCGTGCTCATGACCAATGGCACTGGGATGTTTTAGTTAAGGTAGGTAATGCAGAATTATACCATAAGGGTAATGCTAACAACACCAAATCTATACTATGAGATGAAATGGACAAACGAGACAATTATAGCAAACATTTCTACTTCTAGCCTACATACCTGAAGAATGAGATTTTTATACACATCTCTCATTTAAATGACTCAATGGAATTTTTCTTTAAGGTTCTCATGGAATTTGGTAAATAAATATTTGTAAATGAATGGGCACTTTAACTTCTTTTGAAAAGAGAAGTCGTTTTAAATATGTTATGCTGTGCTAAAAATCTGTAAAGGGCAGCTACTGACTTTTGCACATCCAAGAACTGAGGAGTTCAACATTGACTTTGACTCTTGGAGAACCCATGTTTATCAGAGTAGAACTGTGCTCCATAGGGTTTTCAATGGCCGATTTTTTGGTTGTAGATTGCAAGGTCTTTCTTCTGAGGTTCCTCTGAAGAAGGCTTCAACCTTGTGGTTAGCAGTCATGTGCATTAACCATTTATACCACCCAGGGACACCCAATTCAACTTAGTACATATTTATTAAGCACTTACAATATGCAGCAAAGAATCCCAAAGAACCCCAGTGTTTGTCCTAAAAATAATTTTAATCTTAGAGTTCTGTAAATCTTTTCTAATCTTAAAGCTGTGAATGCACACTTATTCAAAGCCAGTCTCTAGCAGCTCTTCTACTTCACTTCTAGTCAACTGTTTGTGATCTGTAATGTAGTGAAACTGAGATTGTTGAGAATTATATGTAAGCTGGAAGAAAGATATCTTAGTCAAGGACTGTGGGCTGGGGTGTGGATTGGAGGCTGTATACACACACACACACACACACACACACATACATATGTATATATCTTCATATATATGCATATATACACACACATACATAAATTTATTAAATGTTGACTATGTGGTAAGCATTGTGTTAAGTGCTTTATATAGAATATTTCATCCTCACAATTATTGTCACATTTATTTTATGGATGAGAAGACTGAAGCTTAGATGGGCTTAAAGAAACTACCCAAGCTCCAGACAGTTAATATGTGGCTGAGCAGAGGGAAAAAAATGGAGATTTCTGCAAAGGTTATGTTAAGACTTCCATACACCTTGTCTAACAGTATTAAAATTAATTATATAACAATAATAATCGATAGAAGTTATTATTGATTAAGCAAAACAAAAATAAGCAAAAAATGAAGGAATTGAAGATTTTTACCAACTTCTGCAGTCTGAAATTGACCAAACATTCAATCAAGATATATTGATAATTATTGGTGATTGGAATGCAAAAGTTGGAAATTAAGAATCATCAGTATTTGGAAAATATGGCCTTAGTGATGGAAATGACGCCAGAGATCACATGACAGAATTTTGAGAGACCAGTGACTTATTAATTGCAAACACCTTTTTTCAACAACATAAATGGAGGCTATACATGTGGAAGTCATCAGATGGAATACATGGAAATCAGTTCGACTACATACATCTGTGGAAAGAAGTGATGGAGAAGCTCAATATCTTCAGCCAAAATAAGGCCACGAGCTGACAGTGGAACAGACTGCTCCTATGCAAGTTTAAGTTGAAGCTGAAGAAAATTAAAATAAGTCAATGGGAGCAAAAATAACCTTGATTATCTTCCACCTGAATTGAGAGACTATCTGAGGAACAGATTTGATGAATTTAACACCAATGACCAGATGAGTTGGTTCATCTGGTCTTGTGCAATGATGTCAAGAGTACCATACATGAGGAAAGCAAATGGTCATTAAAAAAAGATAAGAAAGGAAGAAAAGACCAAAATGGATGTCAGAAGAGACTCTAAAACTTGCTCATGAATGTAATGTAGTAAAATGAATGGAAATGCTAAAGTAAAAACTCCTCAAAGGGTGGTTTGAGAGACAAAATAAAGTATTATAATGAAATGGGCAAAGACTTCAAATTAGAAAACCAAAAGGAAAGAACACACTCAACATTTCTCAAGCTGAAAAAACTGAAGGAAAAAAACTCAAGTCTAGGGGTGCAATATTAAAAGATTAAATGGTCAAAATATTGAATGATGCAGGAAGCATCAAAAGAAGATGGAGCGAATACACACAGTTACTGTATCAAAAAGAATTGGTCAATGTCCAACTATTTCAGGAGGTAGCATATGACCAAGAACCAATGGTACTGAAGGAAGAAGTCCAAGCTTCACTGAAGGAATTGGTGAGAAACAAGGCTCCAGGAATGGAATACCCATTGAGATGTTTCAACAAATGGATGTAGTCTTGGAAGCACTTTCATTTATGCCAGATAACTTGAAAGACAACTACCTGGCCCACCAACTGGAAAAGATTGATATTTGTGCTTATCCCAAAGGTGATAGTGATACAACAGAATGTGGGAATTATCAAACCATATCATTAATCTCACATGGAAGTAAAATTTTGCTGAAGATAATTAAAAAATGGGTGAAACAGTATATTAACAGGGAACTTCCAGAAATGAAAGCTGGATTCAGAAGAGGACAAGAATCAAGTGGTATCCCTGCTGATGTTAGATGGATCTTGGCTGAAAGCAAAGAGTATCAGAAAGATGTCTACCTGTGTGTTATTGACTATGCAAAGGCATTCAACTGTGTGGATCATAAAAATTATGGGTAATATTGCAAAGAATGGGAATTCCAGAACACTTAATTATACTCATGAGGACACTGTACCTAGAGCAAGAGGCTGTTAGTCAAATGGAACAAGGAAAGACGACATGATTTAAAATCAGGAAGGGTGTGCATCAGGGTTGTATCCTTCCAGCATACTTATTTAATTTGTATGTAAAACAGTCCAAGAAGCTGGACTATAGGAAGAAGAACATGGCATATCAGGACTGGAGGAAGAACCATCAGTAAACTGTGATATGCAGATGACACAACCTTGCTTGTTGAAAGTGAAGATGACTTGAAACACTTAGGAAGATCAAAGACTACAGTCTTCAGTATGGATTACACCTCAACATAAAGAAAATGAAAATCCTCACAACTGGACTGATAAGCAACATCATGAAAGACAAGGTAAAGATTTTAGTTTTCAGGGATTTCATTTTACTTGGATCCGCAATCAACACCCATGGAAATCCAACATTTTATTGCACTGGGCATGTTGTTGTTGTTTTTGTTAGGTGCCGTGGAGTTGTTTCCAACTCATAGCGACCCCATGCACAGCAGAACAAAACACTGCCTGATCCCTGCCAGTTCCACGATCCCTGCTATACTTGAGCCCATCATTGCAGCCACTGTGTCAATCCATCTTGTTGAAGGCCTCCCCCTCTTTCGTCGACCCTCCACCCCACCAAGCATGACATCCTTCTCCAAGGAATGGTCCCTTCTGACAACATGACCAAAATAGGTGAGATGAAGTCTCACTGGGCATATCTGCTGCAAAAGACCTCTTTAAAGTGGTGAAGAGCAAAGATGTCATTCTTAAGACTAAGGTGTGCCTAACCCAGACTATTATATTTTCAATCATCTCATATGCTTGTGAAAGCTGGGCAATGAATAAGGAAGACCAAAGAAGAGTTGATACCTTTGAGTTGTGGTGCCAGCGAAAAACACTGGAAGTACCATGGACTGCCAGAAGAATGAACAAATCTGTCTTGGAATAAGTGTAGCTGGAATGCTCCTTAGAAACAAGAATGGCCAGTCTTCGTCTCACTTACTTCGGTCATATTGACAGAAGGGACTATTTCCTGGAGAAGGTTATCATGCTTGGCAAAGTAGAGTGTCAGTGAAGAAGGGGAAGACCCTCAACAAGATGGACTGACACAATGGCTGTAATGATAGACTCAAGCATAGCAAGGATCGTGAGGATGGTGCAGGACTGGGCAGTGTTCTGCTCTGTTGTACGTGGGATTACTATGAATCAGAGTTTACTCAGCGGCACCTAAGAACAACAACATTTGATAAGCATTGTGTCACGTGCTTTATGTATATTATTTCATTCTTACAATTGTCATATTTACTTTATGGATGAGAAAACTGAGGCTTAGAGGGATTTAGGAAACCTGCACAAGTTCTAAACAGTTAATGTGTGGCTGAGCAGAGGTAAAAAACAGATTTTGCAAAGCTTATGTTTATGTCTTCCAAATAGCTTCTCTAAATTATTAAAATTACCTAATAATAATTGATAATAGTGATGTCATATATTAATACACCTTTGTGTTTATTAAGGTATCATCTTACTTAATTCTCCCAACAACCACATAAGTAGGCTATTCTTAGTCCTTTTTATACTCATCGTAAGTAAGTTTCAAGGAGGCAGGAATAGGAGTTTTAATTCTGATCTGTTTTCAAAAGGGATGAGATTTCACAAAGTCTGAAAAGAGTGCTATCCTATTCTTGTACTTCTGACAAAAATATGTGGTAATAAAATTATTACCAAATATGACTAATAACCTTAATTCTCTATTTCACTGATAACGTCAACCTGGTCACATTCACTTATTGGCTTACCAAGGAGGCTTTGATTCTGATCATGCACTGCAAATGCTCAATTTAAACAAAATAAAAAGTATATGCTATTTATTAAAAATTCCTAGAAAATTATTTTGCCCTTTATCAACACATGCAGGTCAATATCTTTTAAATCTTGTGATTAAAAGGATGGGCCACTCATGTCCACTGTCCAAAGAAGCACTAAAGCCCTGTCACTGTTACTGCCTTTTTACTCATGTTTTCCTTCCCCACCCCTTAATGCCTATGGCTGTTCATATTTAATTTCTGATTGAGAGAAAATAATAGAGTTACATTTTTAAATCACAAAATATCACACACTTGCAGAGAACATTGCTGACATTTGATGAATAACTCTCAGTGGTCTCTCATTAGTAGGGGCATCCCACATTTTAGAACTAAATTATTTACTTCTATTCCACATAAATGTGCTCTCACTTTTATTGTTGTAAATTATTTACATCTAAAATGTTGAATCATGAAACTGAGGTT